TTTGGGGGTACCTTATGTCTCACAGTGAGATGAAGCTGGACTTTGTACTTTGTGTCCAAGTGGATGTGTGACCATCAAGTGCAAGGCAAAACTTTGCTTTAGGATAAATCGCAACTGCTCCTTGATAAGAGCACACTCCATTGAGGGAGGAAATATCTTGTTTGTTTCAATTTTTATTTATTTTTTGGATATAGGGTGGATTATAAATTCTAGGATGGAAAAATGTTTTTTTTTTTTTGAGTTTATGGATTCCATAACATTTGTTTGATTCAAACTAAATTTTGGAATATTGAATAATCAAATAATAAAAAACTAATATATTATAGCATTTGTGAAATCCCCTCTTTGAGAGAGGAGTTGGGCTTAGATTTCAAATTCTAAAATTTGTAATGCTACAATTTGAGTTTGAAACAAACAAAAATACAAATTATAGGATTACATATCCCAAAATATTGATAAAACAAATAGCGTTTTAGAAATCACAACACATGTTAAAAAACCTATGGACTTCAATTCGAAATCCATATCCTAAAATGATAGGATTTGAAACAAACACCAATGAAAAAATCATATATGAAGGAAGCATGACATGTGTCCTCATGCAGAATATGTGCCCTAATGCATATTTTAAAGCTGGTGATTGTACTCATATAATATTCTAATTGCACTAATATTTTACATGTTTGCATTGAAATGATCGCGCATATTTCAAACTGACATTGAGACACATGTCACTTTATGCCTTCTTTTTATATGATTATATGCAGAGAGCTTTATATAGGGTTCTTCACCCAGGAAGATCTAGAAATTAGGCGGCCATGAATTAGTTTGGTCATAGAAATATTAGGTCCAAAAGTTTCATTCCTCCATAATGATGGCTAATTAGGGGTAGCGTTAGATCATAATTAACTTATCAAGAAGAATATTAGGCTACAAAGCATATTCTAAGGAATCATGCAAATTGCAGGGGGGCAAAGGAAGAATATCAGCTCAGCCACTCTTTTCTCCGAAACCACTCTTTTTCTTTTACATTACTATATCATAATTTCTCACTTTAATTTATCAACAAACTAGAAAAATAACCATCGGTTGATATTTGTCTCATAATCCCATTTGCTTATTGTGGGGAACAGCTAATAACCCCACATCCAATTCTACTGGACTTCATGAAGGTTCATAAAGTTTTGACGGTTGGTTGAGAATGGAGAGGATCAAAAGCAGAATATTGTCTAGATTCATTGTGATAAATAATAAAGTTGGCATCAACTCCACTTATCAAATTCCTTGTACAAATTTGGTACGTTGGCTCTAGGAAATGTGTTGGTGGAGTACGGAGCAAAGACGTAGCCTTTTGTGGAATAACTTGAAAAGGATAGGGGCCTATATCTCATTTGACTGCGTAATTAATTAGTTACTATCCTAGAGAATTTTGGATTAAAGTTGTGACATATTGAGTGGAAAGAATTTTCTTTTACCTTTAACAATTTTTAGTGCTGCACCAAGTTTGACTAGTAAGATTGTGGTTGTCATCATGGTACTTTGAGCTCCTTTTTGAATCCAAAGCTTTCCCTTTTATTTAATTTAATTATAAGGCAAAAAAGAGGATAGCTTATAGCCTAGTCCTTACATTGCCTTTCAAATGTTTAGTACATTTGCTTTATGAATATATGACAAGTTAGGAGAAATCTGTCACGATGACGATGAGAAAAAACTTACATTGTTGAACGGTAAACTTATATTAGCATCTTCATGCATCATAACAAAAAACTTGAATTATGCATGCAAATTTTGCCTAGGCATCCTCTACACTCTTGATTGTAAAGAAACTATACAATCCACCAATTAAGGGTCCTATCAGAACACCGCACCGTGTAGGATTCTGATAGCCACACATTGGGGATAGTAAATGACGAAACTACCCCTAGTTACCACTAGACGTGGAGTAACTCCTGCACGATGATGAAGGTTCTAATAGGACCCTTAATCTAATATCTCTTCACTCAATGAATCTCATGAATTACATACTTTATCCAAATTATATATAAATTTTTTTAATTATAGGACCCATTAAAATAAACTAATTGTAGCAGCCCATGTAACTAATTGTAAGCATCATCTATAATTAAAATTGTAGAGGATCCGGACTCGCAAATTTCGACATAGCAAATAGCAAGTCCTTATCGTTTATTTATTTTTCATATCAATATCATTCTTGATCACGTTAACTAACAAAAGAATTGATGTT